TGATACTTCCGTTACTAAGCTGGTTCCCCGGCTCGCTTTGCAAGCGCCAACTTGCGATAAGTGAGATTTCCGGTGACAAGCGTATATTCAAGGACCAGTTCTGGTTCAAAATTGAGCGACCGTCAAAAATGACGTTACTAGACCGGACCAAGTGTACAACCAAGCTTGTCTGTCACAGATGTTGACAGTCGTAATAGTTGGCTAATTTGGGGATGATTAGATCGGAAATTTATTATTCCTGAAAGCATTATCGGTTCCTTACTGTCAGTTGACAACCATGAGACCATTCGAAAAGATATGAATCGGTAGTACTAAACAACGTAAGATCTTCGTACCCCATGGTTGATTGGTTCTTTAAAGCAACACTCAAATATATTCTACCTATCATGTAACGTATCGACTAGTACCTTATCGAATCCGGGCCAAACAAACAAGTGATTGATATTATGAGCACTGTCCGGTGCCAACACAGTGCCTTACCATCCGATACATTCCAGTGCCTTTACAACAGCTTATGTTACCAATTCTACCTAGGAAGCCCAAGGGGTGTTTTCATTTACTTCACGGATTTTGTTTTTAATGTCTAACTAGTTTGAACATAATGTACTACCTGGGAACGTTATCTGAAAGTTTATATCTTGGTTGTCTCTGTAGCATGACGTGATGTCGAAGGCGTTGATGATATTTGGATGTGTTTGGTCGAAGTCGTAATAGTCGTAGATGACTTCATAACCAGTCTGTAAAGTAAAGAAACATACAATGCTTTCTGACATAGTGTAATATATCACTGGCAGTGTTATTCATTGTAGAACAGTGCAGTCAATTGTTCCTGGTGACTGCAGGGTCAGTGGTGTGCTATATTTAGACTCAGAGATCTGGAAGGTACGAGAGCCGCCCGGGATTTTCCAGCACAGTCTGACCAGGATATTATAGAAAGTTCCGGTTACACATTTATGTATAGATTGCTGGCGCGAGCTCAGTGAATAACACATCTTATATCAGGCCGTGAAGATCCGGGATAGAATCGGTCTTCGGTAACCCATGCTTGTCGTAAAAGGCAAATAAAGGGATGGGATGGTCAGGCTCGCTAACTTGGTTGACACATGTCATCGTATCCCAATTGTGTAGATCGATGCTCATGAAGTTGATTGTCTGGTCCAGGCTCGATTATTTACAGACCGCCGCCATATGGCGGGAATATTCCTAAGTGCGGTGTTAAACAACAAACCAACCAAGCAGACAGTATCTCATATCACAGAAAGACCAGCAGTTCTGTGAAGATCACTCTCATCATTTGCCTATTTTGGAAGTTTCACCGCATCTGTAGCGAGCTGTATTTCATCTCTGTCTGTATAATCATGATCACTGCTTAAACATTATATTGGCATTGAATTTGCACTGGCCCTCTACTTTGCACTTCTATTGTACTTCCTCAGTCTTGAAGTGTAGAGGTTTATGTACTTAATTTTAGAATCGAATTGTTAACATTTCCTTTGTTGTTGTTGCTTGGTGTCTCACTGAATTCCGGTGAACTTATTGTTTGAACTTATCAACACGTAAAACTATCCTTGAATCATAGGAAGACATACTTCCTTCCATTACAGGTTATTGTTATGATAAACGTGAGCTTCTTTCGAAAAAACTAAATATTTCACTCGAATCAGGACGTAACCAACACGTTTCACAGTCATCGCCACACATGGACTCCGCACATAAGTACTCATATGGAGAACAGAATCCCGATCCGCGTTACGAGCAGATGCTTAAACCACTTGGCTCCCTCACCAAGGGGTCTGCCGCATGGAATTGTTTCACACTTTATTAAGATTCATCAATAGCAGGGAAGTATTTGTATACGTCATGACGTACAAGAGAAAGTATCGGCTGAACACCGCGGAGATCCGTGTCGGATCATGCATGCCATAAGAACCTCATGCAGACATGGTTTAGAACTGGTCTCCAGCGATTCATGCATGTCATAATAACCCGGGAAGATCAAGATAAGGAGTGGTTTATCGTAAGAGGCATCTGACGGGATCGTTTGGCCGGCCTCGCTGACTCGTTTGCAGCACACAACCGTATCCCAGTTGCGTAGATTCCAATCCCGATGGAATACGTCATGTCGAGGGGATGGGTGGCAAGCAGTAGTCCACCTTGGGCATTAGTGCAGGACAAACCTATTTCCCTCAGTGTGACAATTATGTGTTGATGAAAGGTGTAAGAAATTACTATCCTTAACATGACGAAGGATTAGTTCCAGCATGATGTGTTTGTTTAAGTGTTGATTAACACCGCACTCAGCAATATTCCCGCTCTAAGACGGCGGTCTGTAGGTAACCGAGTCATTCCATTGATCAACAGCCTGAGCATCAATCTACGCAATTGATACGCAATTGAGATACGATGACATTTGTCAACCAAGTCAGCAAGCCTGACCACCCGATCCCGTTAATCGCCTCTTACGAGAAGCATGGGTTACTGAAGACCAATTTTAACTCGGATCTTCACAGGTTAATTTGAGAAGACGTCGCATATGACGTTTATAACGCCCACCCAGAATTGAGTCAATGTCTCTTCGTCGCTTCGAGAGAATTCACAGAAAAAGCATATATGTGGAACAGATAATGGCACTTTGTCAACATTGACAAACAAACTCAAGACAGTTCATGCCTTTTGAGGATTATTTCAACAAATCTATAAACTGTTTTTTAGGCGACAGCAACAGTCATCAGGGGCGTAGCTACCATTATTAAAAAGAGCCCGGGCTTACACATGATTGTTGATAAAATGGTTGGGCAAGCACTGAATACTATCTAAATATACTATTCACACTTTGCTAAGAATCAAATCATGGATTCAACAGAAAACTATGATGTGGGGTCAAATTTGGTTTAAATATCTACGCTTATTGTAAGCATGGATCTTAGGTTTCAGTATGTCACTGCATCTTGTGGATCCCATACCTGCTATTGACAGGTGTTATGTACTTGTCAATGACTCGTTCCATGATTTGCAAAATGGTTGATTGGTGCAATGAGACCATTTTGATGGTTACTCATGTATCAAGTGCATAAGGTTAGATTAAACTGACTGTTTGCCTAAAGAGGGGTTACGATATTATTATTTTTCCAGTTTTAAATGGATACAATTTCAAATTCTGAATCTACATTTGTGAAGTTTTTTATCCTTAGCAAAGTGTGAGTATATAAAGCTTTGCAACCTAGCGGGCTTACATGAACAACATGGTTTGCTACGCGCCTGGTCATATTGATTTGTAAGACAAGCGGCATATCTTCATAATATAAAATGCGTTGTCTCACTAGATCACACAACGCAGATGACAAAAAATAAACTTACTGTTGGTTCTGTTATGTATAGTCTGACAGGCGTGTCCGTGCTGTCGGGGTCGGTGCCGATGTCGTTAGCACTATGCCAGTCATGCTGCAGATGTCACAGATGTACAATCAGGGTTTTGTAAAAGAAGGTTATACAATTATTTACAACAAGAAGACGGAGCATGCTTCACCCGTAACGAAGAATTATATGATTGAAGCAAGTATTTAAAGAATAACATTGGACATGTTAAAATGTAAAATGTTGTGAAAGACTAACATATGACGACCTTTCGCTGGTATATTGTTTCCGTATCTTCTGTAAATACGTTGTGAAATGTTTGTAAACTTACGCTCATGAAATAGATCTCAAATGTGACATTAAGACCACGGAGACTCTCATAGTCCGCCCGAACCGCTGATTACACATCACAGGCCATTCCACGGACTGTTCGCTGGGAAGGAGTGAAAGACTAATCCATATATCTTCATAATAGATAATACTATTGAAGTCAAAGTTAATCATAGCTATAACTCTCTCTGGGTTGGAAAATATATCAGACACTTAAAGGAGACATACAGTAAAATATTATAATTGAATCACTTTTAAGGCATATCAAACGACGTGAAGAAGAAATATTTTTTCAAAAGTCAATATTAATAGCAAAAAGACCCCGTTAAAAGACTACTCTCTTTCCGGAAACTACCGAGAATTAATGAGCAGAGTTGTTATCACGTGACCTGACGTCATAGTAGCCGGCTGACATGCAGCAGATTGCTCTTTACGTATAGAGTCTAGAAGTTCACGATGGCATCGCCAGACAATAACACCAACGTAGAGCTTGAATACGTATGAACGTTCGCTCAGTGGCTTACAAATATTCGTCCATACCAATATGATCCCGTTGTTAGTAAACATAACCAGGACAGTAGCGAAAAAAGTCAGGACCAGCTGTCAAGTGAAGACATCAATATAAAGGTTATAACAGAAATGATAATGCCCTATTTCAGTGCTGGTCCACTGAGATACTATGACGCAGGTTAATGATATTTTGTACATTTGACATGGCGGTAAGATAAATACGTTGGAAACTTCTCCCTCGGGTAATACGGTCTGATGTACGCCTTTTTGTAGCAGTATCATCATCCCTCGCCTATCGGCTCGGGTGACACAGACACGAGTGTACATCAGACCGTAGTACCCAAGGGAGATGTTTACAACGTATTTATCTTACCGCCATGTCAAATGTACAAAATATCACTTTATTTTATTTTGAAAATCGATAAGCTCGCTACCGACTATCATTCGTCACCACTCGCTCCTTTCCGTAACCTCCAAGAAGACTCGTCTTGTCCCGGAATAACAAGACTGGGTCACGAATGTACCGACTATATGACATGTAGCAAAATGGCGTCTGCCCCTCGACTGGATATTTAAATTCAGTGAAACATATTCTCACAAGCTAAACACTGCTATAAAAATAGTTAATATTGTTTAGGTTGAGTGTGTAAACGATTCAATGTATGAATAATTTAAATAAAGAAGTGAAAGTCAGTGAAATAAATGTGCACATAGTGAACTGAAAAAACAGCTAATGGAACGGGTTTCGTGCATTGCATACGTCAGATTATGACGTCATACGATTGTTAGCAATACACCTTCTCAGCTACCGGCTCGGGTAACACTGCTACAAAGATGCAAACATCAGACCGTATTCCCCTCGAGAGAAGCACACAACTTATATTGTTAAATCGTCATTGACCAATGAAATTGAGGTATTTTACATGAAAGTAAGATAAAGTCCACTGTCTTTGATTAATACACCTAATGCCAAGCCCCGAGTCAGATAACAGGGCATAACAATTGTGGCACGTCTCATGCCACGACGCGACCAGAGCATCGAACCTTCAACCTTCCGCCTTCCAGGCTCATACTCGTACGCGGGTGCTGTTTGAACAGAGCGAAAGAGAGGGCGAGTGGGAAGAAGAAGAGGGGGGCACAAGGAGAATAAAAAAGTAAGTTGGGAGATGAAGTGAAGCATGGCATTATAGGGCTTGTTTAAGCGAGTGAAATAGTCTGCTTTAATTCCCCTTTGAACAATATTCCAGGGTGTCACTTCTCTAGGACAAAACAGTTCAAGGTTGAAATCTCATATTTCATAGACATTAACAGCCTGAAGTAAACCCTCGGGCACATGTATGGTGTTGTTAAACCTTGAAATGTAATCGCAAATCTGTTTTAAAACCCATGGTCAAATATTTCTGGCATGTCTGAAGGACATAGCTCTACACAACGAAATGATAATTCGTGTATTGGGGAGCAAGTTTGAAGGAAAAGACTTAAGGAATCAACATAAACGATGGATGGAGCCGTTTAACGCAAGGCTTACCTGTTCTGAACAGAGCTTACTTGTCCTGAGCAGAGCTTACCTGTCCTGAACAGAGCGTATATGTGCTGAACAGAGCTTACCTGTCCTGAACAGAGCGTACCTGTCCTGAACAGAGCGTATATGTGCTGAACAGAACTTACATGTCCTGGACAGAACTTACCCGTCCTGAACAGAGCGTACCTGTCCTGAACAGAACTTACCTGTCCTGAACAGAGCTTACTTGCCCTGGACAGAACTTACCCGTCCTGAACAGAACTTACCTGTCCTGAACAGAACGTACCTGTCCTGAACAGAACTTACCTGTCCTGAACAGAGCTTACCTGTCCTGAACAGAACTTACCTGTCCTGAACAGAGCGTATATGTGCTGAACAGAGCGTACCTGTCCTGAACAGAGCGTACCTGTGCTGAACAGAGCTTAACTGTCCTGGACAGAACGTACCTGTCCTGAATAAGCATACGATGAATCCAGGCTGAACATTTCCTCTGGCTGCTTCAGTCTCAGTGATGACGTTGACGTATTTCTAGTTGCATCCCAGGTATTGTTCTGTATGGGAAAGATGTTGCAGCGAGGGAAGTCTTTGTAAATAACATAAGCCACTCCTGAAATATAAGCGTCAACATTGTTATAGCGTTGTTATGGACAAACAATCTGAAATTTTTAATAAAATTCACATAAAAAACGTCAACATGGAAACGTACTGACTGGAGAAAGAAAATAATTCTGCTGAAATTATGAAATTATACATCTCACTTGGTCAACAGTGTGATTGTATGGTTGTTTTATATAAAAACAAATGTACTGCATCTTTTATACATGCAATATTAAGTGCATGATGTTTTATGAATGCATCCCTTCATATATGTTTAAACCGTAAGCCATGTTTCACAGACGTATCAATCCTTGGAGCCATTAACCTGTTCATTTAACCCTGTCGCTAGCTTTTCCCGTCAACCCTCTGTTCCTCACTTTCTCTCTCTCACACACACACACACACACACACACACACACACACACACACACACACACACACACACACACACACACACACACACACACACACACACACACACACACACACACACACACACACACACACACACACACACCATCCACTTCTACCATCCCTTCTTCTCCCCCAGGTCCCTGGGGCATATGTACACCTGTGTTGAAGTCGTGAATCTCGGTGATAGCGTCCAGGGTGTTGTAGTGGTTGTCTTTGTGTGTGGGGCGGTGGTCCCAGCGGACGAGTTGGAGGTTGTAGTCATACCACACCTATCACACACAATCCGGTTCGTCATTATGATTTCTGCAGAGCAGTCTTAATTATGTTTAAACAGTCAATATGATCGGCAAAGGACAGAAATAGAGTATTTTTTTTTCAGTGGAGATATATAGAGAATACTACACGAGATCTCATTACATACGAATTATACGAAACGAGTGTCCTTCCTATGGTATCTGACCGAGCGAAAGCGAAAGCATAGGAAGGTCACGAGTTTCGTGTAATTCGTATGTAATAATACCGAGTGTGGTATTTTATTTATTACCCACGTCTTACATGCATTAAATTCACAAAAAAGCGTATTTTTGTTATGTTTTTGGTTTCAAACCGAAACCGGTTTCATAAAGAGGTTGCGGAAGATTTTGTACGGTAGTACAATATTTGCGTGACGTCACACTGCAATGACGTCACTGCCTTGGTAACCGACGTCACGATGCATGTCAGTTGTCATCGCCTAGTACAGCCTCCTACAGTAAACTACTCCGCAGCATCTCGTTTCTTGGTTTCCAGTTGCTTCCTTCGGCTAACATCACTGGTGGAAACATTGCGTTTATGTTTTTCAACGGATATAATGTCTCAGTTCGACTCACAATTAAACAGCGACGGGCAACGTTCGCAATGTTTACATTCCCACAATGCATTTAAGTTGTAGAATGAATGAATTCACGCGTTTGTTATGAATGAAAAAATAGTAACGTCAGAATGTGACCTGATTGAGAGGTCATCGGTTATCCAATCAAATCGTTAGAATCTCAGGTCAAGTTGTTACGACACAGGTCAACGCGATACGACACTCGTGTAACGTACGAGATTAGTATGCAACCACCCATACGTTGACCACGTGGGTAATAAATATATATTATGAGTTGTTTACTGGTCACGAAGAGGACATGGGTCGATGTACCCTCTATGTCTGTTTATATTCCCTGCCTCCGAAAAAACTTAGAGGGTACCTCAACCCATGGGCCCCGAGGGACCAGTGAATAACGTATTTAACTTACTGAACACCTCAATGTTTAATTCTGAACTTTTTTGAAGAACAGGTGTAGGATCATAATAATTAGTACCAGAGTTAGGCAATTAGCCATTACCGACAACGGCAGACACGAAAAATACATTTAGAGTTATCTCCCTTCCATCGATCTGCATTCGCAAAACATCGGTAATTTCCGTACATCATGCGTGACTCAATTGTTCGAGATAGAGAATTACCAAACAGGAAGTACTAAACGAATCCCACAGTTCGGCATTCCCAGCGGGTAACATCGAAAATGTTACGAGCTTGTAAGCTGGGTACATTGAAAATATTAGAAGAACTTTCAGCCAATCAGAAAACGGCATTTATGTGTGAGGAAAGGTAAAATCACTAATCATAACAATTCAAGAAACAGCGTGACTGATTTCTGTTATCTGCTTTCAAAATTTCAAGATGTTTTTAGACACAAGCCTCGCTTTTTCCTTTCGGAAGTTCACGAACACTAGGTGATTTCCATTGAACTCTTCATTTAGCCTACCCGCTGTTTTTGCCCTTTGCCCAAATAATCTGTTAATAATAGGTACATAATAGGCAGATAATAGGCAAGTAATAGGCAGATAATCGAAACTGAGACGTCTCCGTCCTCGACGTTTTACAAATTGACTTTGATTTGCGGAATTGTACATAGTTTGTTTCTGGGAACTCGACCAGAAATGTGATTTATTTTCATGATGACCAGGGACGGTGGGGTAGCCTAGTGGTTAAAGCGTTTGCTCGTCAAGCTGAAGACCCGGGTTTGATTCCCAACATGGATATGTGAAGGATATGGATATGTTGATAGACCGCCGCAAAAAAACAAAACAAAAAATGCTGGGACATTGCTGGGTGCGGCGTTAAACAACGAACAAATCAAAACCAACTCACGTCTTCTTGGTAAACCATCTGTTCGCTGAGATGTGTCACCTCCTGTCTGTACCGGTACTTTTGCCTCAGCTGCGGCATGCGGCGTGTCTGACGGCGGCCTTCATAGGCCACACCAACTGGCGTCTAAACATTACGAGGTACAGTTGGTAAAACCTCAATATATATTGGCAGATAATTCGATGTGTAAAAGTAATTAAATGTATCATGAGCATTTGTTTCATAGGCGTGATAAAAGAAGGACAACTCTTTTGAACAAACGTGATGAAGAAAGTTCAGGAGTGACGTGCGCGTTGGAAACAAAGGTGTTCAAGAATGAAGTTGTCGTTGGTAAAAGGCACATGTGTTCATGAGTTAAATAGGGCGCCAACTTCACCCCTCTGAATCATTCTTATTTTGGTAGACGAAGCATTTGTTCATGAGTACAGCTGACTTTGGTAAAAGGCGCAGGTGTTCATGAGTAAAGCTGACTTTGGTAAAAGGCACAGGTGTTCATGAGCTAAATGGGCGCCCACGTCACCCCTCTGAAACAAATGGTCACGATACATTTTCTAGTTTGGTAAACGAAGCATGTGTTCACGAGTGAAGTTGACTTTGGTATAAGGCACAGGTGTTCATGAATAAAGTTGGTGTTGGTAAAGGCACAGGTGTTCATGAATAAAGTTGGTGTTGGTAAAAGGCACAGGTGTTCATGAATAAAGTTGACGCTGGTAAAAGGGAGCAGATATTTTTGACACAGAGTCGTGTTTTTGTCTTTGATAGAAACAGCGATATATCACCGCTGGAACCCTCAAGATAATCAACCAGTGATCACGATAGTTTCCCTCCGGTTTCTTTCACCAAACGAGGGCGGTGGGGTAGACGTGTGGCCAAAGCCTCCGTCCGTCACGCCGTATACGTATATTCCCCATATGAGTAAAATATGTGAAGCCCATTGCTGGTGTAGCCCGCTGTGATAATGCTGGAATACTGCTAAAAGCGGCGAAATAAGATACTCACTCTCTTCCTATTCCAAACAACTAACCTGAAAAACTGATATGTCAGTGAGATAGCTCTTGAAGCCAGTATAGTCATATATATGATGAAAGCTCGAATCCGGTCCGGGGCCCAGCAAATTCTGGTAGCCGATGATTTCAGCCCTGACCGGGATTCGAGGAGAACCGTCTGCTGTTGTCCAGTTGAAAACTGAAACAAGTCATAAGGATCTTCTATATACCAGGTGTAACCTTTGAGCTGAGACAGTTGCCTAACATCCTCGATATTCGCCCACTTCGCCTTGGGCAAAATAGACATCCATGTATCGAACTATTAATCATATTTATGCTGAACATCCCAATGTTGGGGCCAAGGAAGGCGACCTGTCGAAGGCGCTGGTCTAGTAATCGAAAGGTGCCGTGATCGAACCCGTGACCGGGATCGAAGTCTTGTGACCGGGTGTATAAATCTTGGAGCTAACATTACTTGCAGGCTCTTAGTATTGTCACAACCCTTGGCGTGCAGTACACAACCCTGTGCACTTAAATTAACCCATTCATCCGATGGTAGGTGACCAGATGGTACACACCCGAACACGTGCAGACACCTAGTTGCGGGTATAGTAACGTGCAGTGTCACTGGACAAAATACTGTGACTATGTGTCCCAGTTCACCCAGCTGCAAATGAGTACCTTGTAAGGATGAGGCTGTGTGATAACTCGCTGCTCCTAACAGACTGCATGAGTTGAATACTCCCCAGGGAGTTGCGTTGGTTAAAAATTAAAAAATATAATGCCAGAAAAAAGACATCCGTTGATCAAGGGAACACTCCAGCGCCTTGAGCATGTACTAGTTGCGTGGATATGTGCGCTACATAAATATCCTGTAATGGTAATGATAATAATGATCGCCATACCACTGAAGCCTTTATGTTCGCTTCCCTGTGCGTTGCTTGTTTTTTTGCACTTAAAAGCTGTGTTGCACTCTCGAAAAGTATTTCATTGGGTGAATGAATTGATATATCCTTAACCATTAGCTAAATACAGGTATGCACGTACGTGCGTGCGTGCGTGCGTACGTGCGTGTGTTACGGGTGTTGCGTGTGTTTTACCAGAGAAGTAGTAGTCGAGAGTGAAGTTGACGCCGAGAAACCCCCAGTACATGCACCACTGCCAGTGATCACACGAAATGCCCCGAACGGTTGTCTGGCCTTTATATACCTGGAAACATGGGAGTTCAACGGTGTTTTATGGGTCAGAGAGTCAGCTTATGTGATGGGAATGCTCAAAGTGACGCTTTCGTGATAATGTGCACTGATCTGAAAACCTGGTTATAATGGTATATCAACGATTTGAGTTTAACGGATTCCAGCAATACAAAGGGAGGCAACTAAACGGTTAGTGTAAGATGAAGTTAATAAATAGTTTTCTTATTCATTTTAGAAACACATTTGTTAAATGTGGAAATGATGGGAAAACATTCATGGGCTTATTGAAATGTAAACTGATGCCAGTAATTGGTTCGGGTACTTGACGGCCAACACAACCATCCTTCTTTATAATCAGTCCTCGTTTATAGAAATTCAAAATGTCAACACCAGAAACCATCAATCTCAATTGCCTGCCAAAAATGTTTTCACGGGCTTAAGTGGCAAAACACACTAAAAAATTACCTGATCATTTTGATCAATGATAACACAAGGATAATCATGTCATGTGTTTGAAATGTCAGAGGATAAGGAGTAAGTGAGTGAGATTAGTTTTACGCCGCACTCAGCAATATTCCAGCTATATGGCGGCGGTCTGTAAATAATCGAGTCTGGACCAGACACTCCAGTGATCAACAGCATGCGCATCGATCTGCGCAATTGGGAACCGATGACATGCGTCAACCAAGTCAGCGAGCCTGACCACCCGATCCCGTTTGTCGCCTCTTACGACAAGCATGGGTTACTGAAGGTTCATTCTAACCCGGACCTTCACGGGTCAGAGGATATGGAGTGACATATACGTATGTTAATATCATAAACTGAAGCCTGGCTTGTTTTTTGAGGGTTTTTTCGTTATAAGATTCTCTTTACATTAATAATATCATAATACCAAATAGGTTATACCAAGAAAAATATTTAATATTTATATATTAAATATTTGACAAAAGCATGCGACGCTACTCACACTGTATTGCTTCTGTGATAAGGTTACCCAGGTTACCTCTTGGTCAGAAGCTAATCGTTTAGAGGACCTGGTTCTTGTTCTTCAACAACATAAGAAACAAACCTCGCCATACTTCTGGGCGAACTTGAGCACAGACGCCGTGGAGTATGTATGTGGCATTGACGACATGCCAGACGAACCCCCGTTCAACACGTCCACAACGTCGGTCGACCTGTTATACACGGTACACTCTGAATCTGTGGTATTGAAAAACAACTATTATTTCAGATACAAGACTAACGAAACGGTTCTCAGTGTCAATATGGTGATGCGAATGCGCAACTTAGGTGTAGTGCATAACACACACATAACACGTCTTGCAATTAGGCGGATTCCCGCCGTCATGTTGCTGGAATATTGCTAAAGGCGGCGTAAAAATCAAACTCAGTCAGTCAGTCAGTCTTAGGCAGATCAAGGCTTTTGGAGAAGGGGAGAGGTTTTTTGAGTCCAAAGGTTAGGGGGAAATGTCCCTCAGGGAAATGGGGCGGTGGGGTCTTTTAACTTGAGATGTAGTGTGAGTTGGGAGTCAAGAGTTAGCTCCCCTTATATACCAACGAAAAAAGACTCTAGAAGATTTATCAACTCCCTCGATCAGAATGTGATAGAACGGCCCCTGTGCCCTGTTGCAGTACCCCGTGGTACTTTCCAGAAACTTCTTACGCAATAAATAACACTGCCATACAACGAGAGTCTAAGACGTTTTCCTCTAGGTTCCACTACACTAAATCAGAATCACATGCTCCCTGAGCGAGTAGCGTATGTAAACATCTGAAGAAATAGAGACATGGAACAGCTGTGATTGGATGAAATAGTGTAAGATTCTTATGGGTTGTTTTTTTCAAAAGCACATCCATCCAGTAAAGTATTAAAACTGACCACAATTGTAAGTATTTAGTGCTGTCATTTTCATAACCATGACTTATGCTTAATGCGTGTACATATATTTTCCAGTAGGTGACATTTGGTGCGGAACTGGGGTTGATGTGTTCAGCTTCCTGTGCTCGGAACATTGGCAGGGTAAGTTAGCCGGAATTTGTGTTTTTAGTTTAGTTTAAATGCCAGACTTTACCCATGTGTACATGGAATAACATTCTCTAAGGGCAGACTACTCACCGAAAATGTGATAACTTTCGTTTGTGTTGGTGTTGAGAATAACAGTTTCGCTATTCCCACCCTGCGTCACCTGCAGGGACGATGCTCCAATGATCACCGATACATACTCGTCGGCCGTCACCGTCATAGACTGGTCAATGGTTGCACCTTCCACGTGGACTTCGAACTCCGAGGGCAGAATAGGTAGTCTGGGATCTGTACCAAAATGACGTGATACAGTGTTACAACACAGCAGATCTGTGGCATCACGTGATCTGGGCCAAGATTTTCGAAGCTCTCTTAGGGCTAAGATAGTCGTAAGTTAATGTTAATGTGTGGCACTTCCGAATCTCTTCAGCGCTAAGAGAGCTTCGAAAATCTGGGCCCTGCTCTGTACGAATCAAGATAATACAGCATTCTTCCAACAATATCACGGCTGGAGACACCACGAACTGGCTTCTCACACTAAAACAGGTTGCTACCTTGACTCGACAGCTTCTGTTGCTGACGGTGGGGCAATCTACGCAAGAGGCAGAACTCTGATATCCTTAGTACTTCTCCAAAGTGTAATATTTGCTAACAGTGAACCTAAGCAGAAAATAACGTACATGGTTAAGGTTAGACAATGCATACCGGGCTGGATATAGTGTGACTTTCACTTGATCATTTTAACGTAATCTCTAATAGATACTGTTGGCAAATGAATGATGAAAGTCCAGGTGGGGATGACAGACATACAAGGATATGATGACAGACAGAGGAGTAAGTGTGTGGG